GAGATTAGTTAATTCCGAATCAGTGGAATTTTGCTGTAAATATTCTTCTACCTACGACGTCACAGCCCAGAAGACCTTGAAAATCTCGTATCTCATTACGGTTATTATACGTAGAAATTTACCAATATTTCAGAGGTCCTTACTGTCTCTATCATCGCGGATTATGATCGAGGCAGTAAAGACTTCAGAAACGTTGGTAAACTGATATCAGATTACACGGCGCTACAACCCCAAAGGCGGTCATTATCTCATCATTAATGAAGCAAATAACAGGCACAGTTTCTACACAACACAGACAAGTACATACTTTTTGTATTTGACTAAATACAAACGAAATTTACATATGTGAATATTTACAGACATTTTTACGATAATTTGAGCTATACATATATTATTTGTCTAATACAGACCAAAAGCAATTCACTCAAGTATTTAGTTTAGACTGTTCAAACCAAATTTTATGGAAATCGTCAAATAATTTCGGAGAATAAACATGCTGCCGAATTGAGACAATAAATTCCTATCAGGCATTAACTGTGCACCAAGGACATACCGTTCATTTTAACGCGGCTAACACTTGAAAAAACGAAAAATAAAAAAGTCTTACTTTCCTAGTTCAGAGGTGTTCCATACACTGGGGCACAGAAAATCGATCAGATATGCCGGAGTGAGTTCCACGTGTTTTCTCGAGCAAGTCGTAAGGTTTAACTTGCATTACGTGAAATACCCAAATTCGTGTCTGCGCCTTTCACAACCTGTAAACACACGGCTCTCAACAGAGTCAAAATATCACTCGGTTTTGAACATCCCGTCTAGGATTCGAACTGAAGATCTCGAATTTCTTCTTTAGACACTGCCAACTCATGACGTCACAACCTGCGTCAATGGGGACAATCATTATTGTTCGAAAACATCGAGTGGATTTAGTAAGTCTGACACGAATGAAGATGCAAGGGGACCGCGTCAAGTATTTCCGCCTCGCAGAGTTCTGCAATCCTCCATCACACATCAACACTCACACACGTTTGAAAATATTGGGTTTCTTATCTTCAGGATTTGAACCTGAGAGGTTCTTCTGCCAAGTGGAATAACAAATTCATACAGCGTAAAAATTAAAAAAATAAAATAAACGAAGCTGAACTGGCCTAAGTCTTCCAACACGAACATACAACAACTCTGTTACAAGCATCGTTTTGGTAAACCATCGACTGTGTGTGTAATTTGAGGGGGTGGAACGTCTCTTCGATCCGTCCTCCCCACGCGTTCGACCTGTCAATTAACGTTCGCGTCCAGTTCCATTTGATAGAAGTGACGTCGAATAATGGCTGCAGATTAATACAGGGAATATATTTCATCACTGACTCTGCCTTAGGCCTACACATTTCCGCCGGTAATTTAAGCGGCAGCAATAAGAACGTGAGTCGAAAATTAAATCAGCCAAAAGCAGGAGCGCAGTCACTCACGTGCGCCTGGTATGACAGATCGAGGGATTGATGGATGGATAATAAGGTTCTTAACGACACTATCTGAGCTTCGGAGGTTATTTACCTTCCAGCGGTATTGATAGGATGATCACCTACGGTGAACTTGAAATGACTACGAAGAAAGGTCTCGCTTCATATTTCAAAGCATTCGGCATCCGTGTGGGGGAACTGAGAAAATCCACGAAAATATTAGTGCCTCGGCTGAGATTCTTACCGGGAATTCGTATTCTACTTCCATAAGATCCATTTTAATATTATGCTCCAATTTTGGTTTCCAATTTCGTCTCTTTCGTGCTGGTTTCGCGACTGAAATTTTCTGTGTAACCTATTTTTCTCTCCTCTTATGTGCTAATGTCTCAGACATATCGTCCTCGTTCATTTAATGTCGTTATTAATACACCGATCAAAAAAGTCAAGCAACCCATACTAAAATATTTATTGATGGTCACTTTCAATATAATTCGACTGGATGAATAAACGCAGGTCACGTCATGTTGTAATGTGCTCGCGACAGTCCGTCATTTGACTCTGAACAGTCAAAGTGCAAGTTCATTGCCGAATTTCACCAGGAATCTCTTCCTTAACTTGCCAGAATGAGTTTGCGGGTATATTTCTCGATTCTCCTGTGCAAAAAAAATCGACAATATCTCGTCTGGCGCAATCCTTCGCCGGGTTGCATGAAACATGAAGAACGCGGCGGACATTTCAAATACTAAATACAACACTCCTTTTCATTTTCCGATTTCAGCGTGCTTTATTTCTTTGACAAATAGAACATATGTTAGTAATGGATTGCATGAATTTTTGGTCACTCTATACCTGGCGAAGAGTACAGATTATGAAGTTCCTCACTATGCAATTGTCTCTATTCTCCAGTTGCTTCCTTTCTCAGGCCCGAACATTCCGCTCAGATTCCCGTTCTTAAACGCCATAAATCTATGCCTCTCCTTAGGTTGAAAGACAATTTTTCATAAAAAATCACAATTTTTAGATAAAAAACAACTAAAAATTAACTGCAGCGAGCGCTCCTCTAACTCAATATGAACTTCTTCGTAAACTTAATTTTTACTTCCTGATGTCGTCCTAGACATCCTAGATGTGGCACATTTTCTAAGGATTTATTAACTTCTTTATGTGACTGGGTCCTATTCTGTGGTGTCGACACATGGACATCCACATTTCTCTCTGAGTTTACTTCCAACCATCTTAACTAATGTCAAATAGAGTTTCTGCGTTTTTATGTTTGTTTTCGCCCTCGATAATAATGTAAACCTGTAGATGAATCTCACAACTAAACCCCTCCGCAGGGATCAACTATTAAAACTATTAGCAAACATGCTTTTCGTACGGAAGGGAATCATGCGAGAAGTTAAGACGTCAGGGAATTTTACTGACGAAATATCGAATAAAAATTTCCTTGGATAATATCCATCGTCTAGTAAATATAAAACGTAAAACGACGTTTCGGAGATAGGGATTAGCTCTATCTAGTGGGCCCAACTGTGTAGGAACCTGAAGACGGAGATAGAGTCCCATCTCCGAAACGTCGTTTTACGTTTTATATTTTATATTTTACTAGACGATGGATAATATCCAAGGAAATTTTTATTCAAATGACTCTTCACCATCGTCAAAAAGTTTTAGATTTGATATATTACCAACGTTGCTGAGCAAGTTTGTTTGTTCGTTACGTTATCGACGAACAAACTTTACACGTTCAGATTTCTGAGATGTACTATAAACGAGTATTTATACCCCAAGTAGTGGTTGCATCAACAGAGCCACATTATTCCTTCGCTCATGTATTATTCAATCCTCGAGACAATGGGCTCTTATTGGCTTAACATGTTCATTCACGACTTACAGACAATTCAACGCAGTGAATGCACTATCAAAATCATAGCAGTTTCAGAAATATTTCATTTCTTTCTAACTCGCCCTTGCTTTGTATTCGGAAGGTACCCGGTTCGAAAATTTAATCGGAGGTATAATGAAATACGAGGTGCGATCGGAAAGTTTCAAGACTGTGTCAATAGAAGGCGAACCGGATGTAGTACGAGCTTCTGCAGCTAGGGGGTGCGGCCTACATTCATAGTGAATCAGTGTGCCAGCCGGCATCATCGAATTAGCATTTGTTTCTTAGTTACGGGCGTTTTGGTAGTGCATTACACAGACCCTCCTGCGATTTCGGAATGGCGTGTGCATCAAATTTTGCCAAAGACTCGCCAAAACGGCTACGGAAACCTATGAAATGCTAAAGCAAGCATTTGGGGAGTCCGCAATGGGTCGTGCACAAACTTTTGTGTGGCATTTACGTTTTAAAAATGGCCGAACCTCTGTCGATGATGACGAGCGTTCTGGACGACCATCTTCGAGCACAACGCCCGAAAATGTTACGAAGATTCGGCAGGCCATTCACGAAGATCGACGTCGTACCATCAACGACTTGTGCGACCTTGTTGGGATAGGCTATGGGACCTGTCAGCTGATTCTAAAGGAAGAACTCTACATGCGACGCATCATGACAACGCGCCAGCGCACACCGCCCTCAAAGTTCGGCAGTTTTTGGCCTCAAACACTATGGCCGTCATCCCGCACCCTCCTTATTCGCCGGATTTAGCTCCGTGTGACTTCTTCCTCTTCCCAATGATGAACATTCAGCTAAAGGGAAGGAGATTTGAGGCGATAGAAGAGATTCAGGCAGAATCGCAGATGGTGCTTGACAGGCTGATAAAGAAAGATTTCCAGGGATGCTTCCAGGCTTGGCAGCGGCGCTGGGATCGTTGTGTTCACTCCCAGGGGAACTACTTCGAGGGTGATGGATGAATTTAATACCTGAGATAAGTGTACGGGTTTTTATACGCGCAGTCTTGAAACCTTTCGATCGCACCTCGTATATCTCTGATTATGAGGTGGTTCCCATATGATTCTGATTAATCCTCCATTTAAACATTGTTTATTGTTAACAGTTTTCAAAATGACACCGTACGAAGACCCCAAGCTATTCCCCCGTCATCCACACTCGAAAAACATTGCTCGAATTATCTCTTCTTATTTGTGTTTTTATTTTCCTTTCGTTTCGCTCTATTCGTGAAATACAGAGTCTATGATCTTGTATATCATACACATCGTTCAGGGACTAAAAGCGTGAAAATATAAATGTTTAAATTTTATTCCCATAAAATAACATTACAGATAAAGATTTCATACGTGGCGTTACAAGACAAAAAAACAAACAGAAAACAGGCCCCTTCATCCGACCGCTGCTTATAAAAACCTGAGACCCTGTCATAGAAATCCTACTAGGATATAAGTAATCACATAAAATTTTCACTTCTTAAGGCGGTGGGGTCCTCATATAAGTATAAAGTAGTAAAAAGCTGTTCCCTACTTTGACAAGCATGTGAAACGGAGTGTAGAACACCCTTAGGATGCGCTATATGTAGCCTGCGGATACACATAAAGCCTCTTATGATATGGACCTATAGCCTAATCATCGTCTAGGAGGGCTAAAAAGACAAAAAACATAACAGATAAAAACACGACACGTTTAGAACGGAGCTGCACCGCAGAAATGTCAACATCTTATAATAGTACTGATAGATGACACGAACCAGCTGTTGCCGTTTGTAGGAGGATCGAGATTTACACAAAACGGGCTAATGTTGATAGTTCCCCCATGTATCCTACGTTAGTTACTAAAATTGACTAATTTATCTTTTTCGGTTGCTGTATTGTAATGATTTGTAATACGTTTACGGCATTGATCCTCAATCGGTGTGCAACAATGCTTTGGGCTTTAGAATTAAAATTAAGTATGCAAGTTAAAAAACCAAATAATTATTAATACCACATTATTATCCTTAAGATGGTATTTTAGTGATTAGTTAATTAGTTTTTTAAGCCACATTTGAAGGAAAACTTTGTTTACCACTTTTCAGCAATATTGCTGCCTTCAGCAAGCATAATATTTGGCATATATATATAATGTGTCTACTTTGATTTTGAACGGGCTGATATTGCAATTGAAGTGTACCACCAAGTATTATCATATGTGAAATGTTTCATTTAGACCTACATACAAGAAAGAAACTAAGACAAAGGCAATTCACCCCACTCAACATAAATTCGTACTGACTTTTTGTTGACAGAGTTTGCCACTAAAGTAAATATTTACGTTTGTGAACGCATGGTTCCGTGTTGCTCAGTCTAAACATACGATGTGCTCTCCATTGAACAAAATAATTATTACTAGCGTGCCTCTAAAATTGGGCACGTTTGTTATAAGAAAAACCTATTACGAGTGGGACCAAGCTAAATAAAAACGATTTCTAAAAATAGGTGTACTCTTATATCAATTTCAGTTCTATATTCTAATTCTAGTGCGCCGTATGAATAAACTGATATCAGCGAGCACCAAAAGGTTGAGAAGCACTGACCTACATTGAGAAAAGTAGTAAATATTTTGTGCTCACCGATTGTCTCGTACCTGTGCTGCCTGTAAAACTGCGAAGAAACACTCAGTCTGTTCGTTCTATGTCCTTTCATATCGTCTTTATAAATAAAGTAAATTAAACGCATCCTCGTGTTTTCCAAAAACAGAACACAGCATTTCTTGAACTCATTATACCGTCCTAACAACAGTGGATTCCTTACTATGGAGACTCGGACGATTCTTACCATCAGCAACAAGATGTTAATCTGAAAGTTCACTGATAACGTTTCACTATCACTTTGCGTTGTAGACAAAAATGACGTCCTGCATTACACTCTAAACTAATAAATTCCACACAAAAACTTTATAACACTTCCAAACGTGTTAAACAATACCTCCTACTCCGGTTCATTCTCTTTACATACTGGAACGCCAATAGCGATCGCGCCATTTCTCGTCCTTGAGACAAATGAAGAGTGATGCACTTCTCAAGCGTAGACTGCTATCGTGGGTGCGTTCACTAAGAGTGACAAAGCAGAGAATACAACGAGGGTGTTATTAATTTTAACACAGGCTATGCAACTTGATGTACTGACAAATTAATGATAAGATTTTGTCAATTCAATTCAATTAATTCAATTCAATTAATTTATTTACGTGTTTGCCAACAGCAAGAAGCCAATAACAGGCAAACACTGATAATATATACAATAATAGTGAAATAATAATGGATAATATTACACAAACGGATTAACTAAACTTATACATGTACAGTATTAAATATAACTGCCAAGTACAGGCAAACCCAAAATAGAAACAATATTAACACAGAGCAAAAAATGAAGGAATATAAATAAAATTGCCAATAATTATAATGCAAATAAAAGCAGAGTTGCTAGATACACATAATTACTTCAAATAATAATTGCCTTAAGCGTAAACAGTGTATAAATAAGATATTAAACATGGTTAGAACAACGTGCATCAGATAAAAACAGTAAACAGTGATTTGGTAACAGTGCTCCTAACACATACTTTAAATTACAAATTCGTATAGGCCTGAAAGCTATGCATGGCCCACTGAAATACGCATGTATGGTCTATTAGAGACTATTTTAACTTTTTACATATTAATGACAACTTCTGTGTAGTTAAATAAAATTGTCTTATTTAGAGTTTCTGGTGGATATTCGTATTCATTATAGAAGTTCACGGACAGCTCAATTTCTCTCTAGTTTTTTTCAAAATTCAGAAGTTATGGCTTACTTCTAATCCAGGCTCCCTGAATCTACTAACACAATACCTGACAGAAACAATCGTTAAAAATCACACGTTTATTTAACGTTTGTTTAACTACCGTTTAACGAGAGGGGTAATTAACACCGTGGTCTTAGAATTGGAAGGTTTAACACCGATAACATCAATGCTCTACATTAAACACCACCCTGAAAGTTTCCATCCACTGCTATGGTTACAGCTTATATCCGTAAAGACTGAGAAGCTGTGAAAAGGTAATCTCAACCTAACAGCCAGATTTTGGTTGCAATAACTCATTTATTACTTAAGATGTGTGAAAATTTGCATAGACTTTTCATGAACATACCTAGAACGTTGTGTGTGAAAATTACACATAATAAGGCAACAATGAGAATCTTAGAGATTACTACATATGACAAATATCGAGTACTGGAATACTACACGATTTACCTGATTGGGTCAGTGGGGCTCGACGACAGTGGTTTCATTGCTTACCCGGAGAACAGTTTCTTTTTGCCGCCATGTTGAGACCAGCTCTGGGGCCCGTGTACCGAAGCTTCGTCACCAGCGAGGGTTAAGAATACGCCGCATTGACCCTGATGACAGAAACAGAAGTTCTCCGAAATGTCAGTTTCAACCCAGCTTTGACGCGTCTGATCGCCAAAAATATTTTAGTGCTCTTAACGTACTATTTTTAAACAAGCCAGACAAATTAGTGACGTAGCTTACATAACGTGTGCAGCTGAAAAAAGTCTTTAAATAAATTATCAGTAAAATTCAAAGCCAGTGTAGTCGACCGACAATTAAATCCGAGGCCTCTAGAAAATGTAATTCCTACCTCAACTGGAGAGGTTATATAGAATCGAATAAGACCGGATAACGATCGTGGTTGGTAAAAATAAAAGTGGGTTTATATTTTCTTCTCAAAAAACTGAGAGGAATGCCAAGAATTGCAGTTCGAATATCCAGTAACGCCGTCGAGATTACAACCGGCTATCTCTCGAATACAAGTCTCGTTTCTTTAAAAATGTTGGCTTCGTCTTCCAGTCAAAAATAAATATTATTCATACAGCACACGCACATTGTGCTACAACATTCGGATTGCAGTAGTAGCATAGAATATTTGCACAGCAATTGTGATCACTCCGCACGGTTGAGAAGAGAAGTATATTTGTTTAGCTTTGTACATCAAAGCATGTTCCGTTCAGGACTCAGCCCGCTCGCAGTGGCAGTAAACAATGGACTGCAGTTACGTTTCCCATGTTTCTGACTTGCGTCCTTTACATGATGAACTTTAATGAGGATAAGTCCCGAATACGTAAGAAGTTTGTTGGGCACTACGTGAACGGGGATCGTTTTTTTTTAATAATATGAGACGGAGTAGATTGGATTCGTCTGACTCAAGATAGGGATACGTGGCGGGCTCTTGTGAACACGCTAATGAACCTTCTGACTCCATAAAAGACGGGGAATTCTGTGACTAGCTGATAGTACTATCAGCTTCTCAAGAGGAATTTAACTTCACTCATCTCCCTAATGTTGGAGGCAGCAAGGACTCCTGAAACGTTGATAAACTTCTACCAGACTACATGGCCCTACAACCCAGAAGCAGAAATACTCATACTCACCGCTGTGAAAACCTCAAATCTTATAAACTATTCTTATTTCCCAGTCTTCAGTTGTGGTTTTGTCCTCTAATACAAATTCTGTTCACACATAAATCAATGACATCCAAACTTAATACTGTTCATTCTTATTTTCAGAGTACTATGGATGCAGAAAATGGTTTTTTCCATCACTAGTGAGCAACATGCTGCCAGTTAAATATACAACTGGATTTCACATGAGTCACAGAAGGCCCTTCTGTTCTTATTAATCACTCCAATTTTGGGAAATATGTAGGGCACTGCAATCTCAGTCAACTTCTGCTCTGCAAAACCATGTTGCAGGACTAGGTTACTCTTTATGAATTTTGTTCATAACCTTCACATGCAAAGGAAATATTTTGAGTAGCCATCTCCTTGCTCTGAAACAGATCTAAAGCAGTGTTGTGCAATGCTATAAAATTATGTTCTCAGTATTTTATACTCAATATATTTTCAGTTATAAGGAAGTAACAACTGAACCAACATCAGTATTGAATAATATACTGAATATTTGACAATAAAGTTTACAAAAACTTATGCAAGAAACAGATTAGTACACAGTAAGTTTAAATTTATGAGAAGGGAAAAACAATAAATGATATGTTTACACAAAGTAATGTTACAATGGACTTTGAAGAAATCCAGTTTTTTTAAACAGGATCAATGACCCCCTTTACGAATGAACAGAAGTTATTATTTATTTTCAGATTTAAAATAAATTAACTTTATAAAATATTATGTTATTAATTGCAGGACTGGCAACAAGAATGTTACCAATGACCTGTCAACAAACAACAAAGTGTTTTGAAGGCAGTCAAATGAGTACCAGTATTGATGTTATATGTAGAGGAAATTAAATTATATTGTAATTGGTTCAACTGTTTGCTTTTCAGTTTCTATTGGACACACAAGTGATATACTATGGAACCCCATTTTGCTGATTAAGAAGAGCATTATTTATCCTGTTAACTTAACCTTTAAAGGCACTTAAGCACTGCATTAATACACTGTTGAAGAAAGACAACTTAAGCATTGATTGCTATGGATTTCATTGCTCTGGTATTCAAATACCACCATATTAAATTAACATTTATTAGACATGTAATTATATAAATTCAAGAAACAAAAATGTTAAAATGTATTTGTTCAGTTTCATCCTAATGCATTTATGATAACATATATCCATACTAGAACCAGTCTGGTGTGGGATTTCTTATCAGTACTTTAAGATTCTGAGTAGAAATAACTGAAAATCTATTGGTGTAGTGTGTGACTTGCAAATTCATGTATATAATTCAGAGCATAGTTAAAATGTCCAGATAAACTCTTCAAATATTTTATGAAGATATGATCAATGTAAGCATTTATCTGTCTTCAAGAAAGGTGTTATTTCAATTGTTAAAATGGTAATTGTTTGAAGCAAGATACTCTTTCTCTAACATAACTGCAAATATAAAAATAATACAACCATATTGGCACTAAAAATGATATATGATTCAGTGATTTTATATTCCACTTTTGCTCCCATATTCTGCACATTTTGTAATTTTCAAAATAAAATGTATAATTAAACATTTCACGAAGAGTGGCACAGCCATATCTCATCAAACAGTTTTAAACATTTAGAACTTCATTTTGAATTTCATTCCCTCTAAGACTGTTGTTTAATATGACTCTGCTTTTAAACTTTCTCAGTCATACCAAGCATGAGAAAACTGCAACAAAAACATTACGCATATCACTAATAGCCACGGTTCCCTTTTAGCCTGAGAGACATTAATGAAGGAATATACTCAGATCATTAAGTGCATATGGTTATTAATTCTGCTCACTCACTGAATAACTTAAAGAAAATTATTATTTATATGAACTCTGATATATATAAAATTTTGACACAGAAAACAATGTACCAATTTCTGATGTTAAATATTTCCTAACAATGTAAGACAGAATTTCCTAATATCAGTTACATTAAGACTTCATAAAATTACAAATTAATGCAGTTATCATTAAAATAAAAACACCATTGCACATTACAGCTGTTTTTTTTGCAACACTGTCACTTACATAACGTTAGTAATGCACATGAAATTAGTGTTATGAAAAAAATATTCACATTTAAAACAATACATAACTTCATCTAAAATTTCATTTCTTGTCTTACAGCCTTCTCACATTTAAAGGAACTTTTATTTTAATTCTCTCATATAATCATTTTAATATGTTACACAAATAGTGACGGTGATAATGAGAAGAACAGAAACACAAAGTGTGACTGAATACTTTAATGAAACTATTGGTTGTGTCAAGTACTAACAAGTACTAATCTGTTTAATCCATCTCTCCTCCACGGTTGCTTTAGAAAATGTCACACAGTTTTCTAAAGACTGATATGTGACACATAGCACACATTAGATATGTTGCTTCAAAAACTGTCCAGCAAATCTCTCTCCTTTCATCATATGTCTATGTTGCAAGTATGTATGTCTGAAGACTAATGACTTTCATTCTGTTTCTTTCATTCCCTTTTATATCTTCATATAGAAACATAAACATAATGACAATAATGAAGACAATAATGAAATTGTGACAATAGTAATATACTTCTCCTACAAATATATTCTCCAGTAACATACAAAAATGAGAAGTACAATGTTTATATGTTGAAAGAACAGCACTGTTTCAAGCAAAATGTTTTATTTTGTAAAAATTCTTCAATCTGTTTTTTCAGTCTTATGATTATGGAATCCAAAATCCAGAAAATAATCAAAAGGTGGAACTATCAAAGCAGCCAAATAATCTATAATGGCGCTACAGAACATATGAAAAAAGTCTTATAGTTTTGAGGCATATTTTGTATCAAAGAAATGTAAGAGTAAAATTTAAGTTTCCTTCACTGTAATCCACAATCATGATTCTCTTTAATAATGGGAAGCATTATGATTTGTATTATTTGCCAGGTATTATTAAGGTTATCAAATGAAGGAGGATGAGACCATCATAAATAAGTTAAACATACAATGAGAGACAGAGTATATACAAGAAAGAACACTCCATGACACACATGAGAGATTAAAATTGCAGGTACCACTGCTTAAGTACTCAAGAGCTGACAGGATGACTGCATTTATGATCCAAGATAAACATTAGTCATTCTGAACAGTTACAACTCACTACTTAATAAGTATAACCTGATATTTTTGTCAGTTAAACCTCATCTTTTTCATGTAATATTGATTTTATAACTAAGGTTATGTCACAGTAATGATACTGTTACAAAATAATAACAATGAAGTTCACTGCACTAGCTGATCCGAGCAAATGCCAATAATTAAATTGTTATTAATGAAAATGTCAATTATTACCGTCGATTAATAGAAATACAGAAAAAGATTATCATATTAATCACAAGTGCTGAAGAAACATAATGTAACTGTTGAATAATTCAAATAAAACAATTTCTTCCAATATGTAGAAGTACAGTACTTTTGGAAACTAAATCAGAAGTATAATAAGAGCTGAAAACTGAAAATAATTATTTGATTACATCTTTATCAAATAAAAAAAATATTCCATGTCCTCAGTCTAAATCAAGAGTAATTCTAGTAGAAATATTTTATATTTGACTGAAGAATCAGAATGTTGAATTGCCTTACGGGTAAAAGGAAGAAAAATTCTGGTAAATTTGCTTAATTATTTCTATTAAACTGAAATTCTCTATTGCCAATAACAGTTATGCTGATAGATATATATTTTTGTGTTCCAGTTTCTCTTTCAAAATGCATTATTAAATTACAGATAATAATTTAAGTGATAATAAACTACAATAATTATAATAATTTTGGTTTCAATACATGATTTACAAGAATAAGGCATAATGTTTACTTAAATATTCACAGAGAAAATAAAACTACAACAGAGTATACATAAGTTATTTGAGACTAAATATTGTACCACTGATCATGCTGTACATTATCAGTGTTACAAACAGATGAATTTATTAGACTGGCAGAATCAAGATCTCTTAATTCTACTTCCCTGCCCATATCATAAAATGCAAGTCAGTCTATACTATTCTCCATAAATAAAGCATCTTAATTAAGTCTCATAAAATTATATATTTTTCTTGCATGGTTAAAATACCTTTCATATGTTATATATAACTTGACAGATTGACAGAAATCAAAGTCAATAAATAGTTTTTATGTAAGATGGACAACTTAATTAAGAAAAATTAATTTTGTATAGTTTATTTACTATATGTGATATATATTATACATGTGTGGAGAAAAGTATGTATGATTATAGTGCTTATAGACAGACAAACACACATATTCATTAAAGTAAATTGGTCTTAGTTACGGTACTATTAGTGTTGTGGTTATCAACTACACTACACAATGAGCATACTAAGAAAATGTGCAGTTTGACTCATTGTCTTGCGTTATAAAATAGAACATGATTAATCCCTACAAATGTAACAAATCCCTTTAAAGGCTGAGGATTTTTTGTGATTAATTTATGCAGTTTTCACAGATCAGTCTCTGATTTATATAGTAACTATGAAATGGATGACCAGGGTTTGATTCCCAGCAACAGCAAAGATTTTTCTCTTTGCCATTGCATCCAGACTGGTTCTTGGGCCCATGCAGACTAGGCAGTATCATAGCCCATTTTGCCTGGAATAATGAAGTTGACAACACACACAAAACCTAGTATCAAGGTTAAGAATGCATGGAGCTTTATCTCCACCGTGTGTCATGTAATTTATTATAAACCATATATTATTTCATAACTGTTATACAACAGACAAAAGTACTCAGCATAAAAATTAAACATTATGTTAACTGAGAGTTTTATAGAAATAATTATATAATTCTGTCACTTGTTCCATATGCATGCTCTGATACATGAATTTACAGAATTCAATAAGTACTGTGATGTATTGAATTATTTCACACCCACAGTCCTCATAAAGACAACATAATTTTGTAATAAATGTGCATGACAAGAATCTATCTGTATGCATGCCAAAGGACAATAAGATAGCCTTATTACATTACACCATCCAATGAGAGAACTTGTAAGAAGGAGTGTGTTCTATGTTACTAATGAAAATATATTCAGTGGCTTCAATTTAATTTTTACAGTCTGTGTGTTACAACTTACATGCAGTCCAGCCGGCCATGCATGGGACTACAATACTGCTAAACCCTTACCCACAGAGTTAGAATCTGACCAGCAGTTCCATAGTAGGGGATTTCCCATATCCCATTTGATAAAGGTTAAAATATCATCTACTGTAAGTTTATACATATGAGAACAATAACTAAGAAATAATGTATAATTATAAAACAAAATATTATTGTGTTTATAATTACTTCATGTGCTTGTCTTATAACTATTGACTTCCTAATGATAACCTAGAATATCAACAAATCCATAGAACATATTCTGCGTGAGAATTATTAAAATCATTCCAAAATTTTCATTACAATGGTAAAAACACATAGAGTACATGAAACACAGAAGTATAACCCTATTATTATAATGTGAGAATAATTATATACCGAGAAAAAGTCCAATATCATGCCAATATAATGTTTAAGACAGCATTCCATTGAACTATTACAGAAGAAGTGTAAAAGCTCTATCTTGAAAGTAATGTCACAAAAAACACACATGAGAAAAGCTTTCTGCCTTAGTGTCATATTTTTCCCACTTTGATGATGTGTGATATAGTAACAAATAATAAACATAACTATACACACATATAACAAGATAAGAAATGAACACACTCCTTCATACATTTCAATTAACAAAAGAAATCTTTATCTTCCAAAGTTTTCAGGAATTTGTACATATTTCCATTTTTAATGCTCTGCAAGGCAACACATGAAATGTCATACTAAGTCAAAAATGAACACTGACAATAAATGAGCATTAAATATTGAAATTAATATAGCAGAACAATAAGTAACCCAAATCACATGGTAGTATAAAAGTGCTGTAATCACTGAATAATGTGTAATCTGACATACTATAACAAAGTTCTAAGGATTTAAGGAAGGAGATGTAAAGAACTGCATGAAAGAAATGGTACTTGGAATTAAAAGTCAAATTGTTGGATAATTTTTTTGATTATACATAGTAAATATTACATGCAGAAAATTGTCATTCTATGGATGTGTATCTCCAGTGACTTGTATCTTTCCTGTAGTTATGCCAACTAGTGCAAATTCAATGTAACATAAAATGTCTATCATTACATTTAATCATTTATTCTTAAATTGAAATAATTGTGATGTCACATGTAAAATTTGTGTACACTAAGGCTTAAAATAAAAGATAAGGAAATGGGTGGTTAAGAAACAGCAAGCAAATGGAAATAACAAACAAATGCATGGGTAAAATAATGATTGATCATTATCTCCTGCATATCTTAGCCTGTCAATTCATATTCCTATGGTTGTTTAATATGAAATGTGATGATAAACTGTCACTGATTCTATATATATGTTAATACTGGAAATCAATAAGACAATAACATATGTGCCACATGACAGGAACAATCTTCATGTTCTAAATTTTGCGCTTGTACTAACTATTATGTGACCCATATTTCAGTGTATTACAAATATAGTTAATGTTATGTACAGTGTGCCAAATTGTTTGTCCACTGTTTACTATTAAAATCTTATGCACAAAAGCTGTGAATGAAATACAGTATTTACCAGAAAAGTTAATATTGGAAACTATAAGATTTGTTTACCAAATATAAATGTACTGTTAATGCTGCACATCTCAGAGATTTAGCAATTACCTTATAAATAACAATTCATGTTTTAATACTCTTGGACATAGAAGGTCATGCTTCCTTACTGAACAGACATCTCTGGGTAGAAGCTTTTCCTCTTCATACAGATTACTTCTAGAGAAATTATTTATGAAAATTTTGCACAAAACTGTGTAACAAACATCTTCTAATGTAAGTGTGCTGGCACTATTAGCCAGTATAAATGGTTGCATTCAGTGTCAGTCTAGTCTGTGCAATTTAATAATGTTTATATTATAAATCATATAATACAGTTACATTATACTTCAAGTGAGTATTTTGTGAAACTCTTGGAAATGTCTTCATGAACATGCAGAAACAGATGCACTGCCTTTACAAAATAGCTCAGTCAGTCCTGTTTTTAAGGTTTTCTGGTCACAGACATTCCATTGTTCATTTTCTCTATTCTGATTATAAGCAAATTCCATTTCCAATGACATACCCCAAGGACTGCACTGAATGTATTTCCAAACAAGCTATGTAACAATATCACTATAAAAAACTGTATTAACAACCAGTGTGATTTACTTAAAGTCATTATTATAAACTTCTTTATACAATAGTTTTCTTAAATGTTTCTGTTCCTATATGCAAACTACAATATTCAAGGAAATTTCTAACCAGTATAATATACATGTCTCTTCTTAAATATCAAGTTTATTATGTGATAGTTTATTCTGTAAGATAGATATACATGAATTGTCATTTCTTTATTAATTGTGTATCATAAATTATAAACCTTACACTGAGGCATGTATTAATGTATTACTGCTCTACAGGTAGACAAGGCATTCATTTGAAAATGATATTTTATATAAATTATATAATATTCTTATCAATATATGTAACATATTCAGGGCTTGTGTTTGCATCCAGTGTCTCTTATCTTCATACCTTTTGTGTGTGATGTAAGGAATATTAAAAGGTATGTTTCCTAGCTACTAGACAGATTAGGAAACTAATTCATTGCT